ATCCAGAGAAGAAGATGAGGGTGCAGAAACAGAACTCAAAAATGAGTTCTCAGTATATGAAAAGATGCCTGAAATCAGTGCAGAAGAGGACCCACTTACATGGTGGAGGACACATGAGACAACTTTACCTCACCTTGCCCAGTTTGCTAAGAAGTATCTGTGCCTCTCTGCTTCAAGTTCAGCTTCAGAGCATGTATTTAGTACATCAGGGCTCATTTGCAGTGCAAGAAGGGCACGACTTACGGAGGAACACATTGACATGCTGGTTTTCCTAGCTCAAAATCTGAAAGTTGCAAAACAACTTTAGGATATAGTAATGGGTGTCAATCTCACTCTACTCACTGTAGAGAAAATCTGCATATAATTGCAGTAACTGATTTTATTTATTGTGTTTACTAATTTGTTACTTGATGCATAAGATTGCACTGATTTTGTTTTTGCTTGAAGTTTAAGTATCTTTTGGTGATGCTGTGTTTGGATTTGATTTTACCTGGAAATACAAAAGATTGCACTTTTTTTTTTTTACTTGCACTTTATTGGTTTTTGAATGTATGGCAATCTGAGAGGCTTTTGAACACTACCTCAAGACATTTTTGTTCATGTAAACTATACCTCAGTGTCATGTTCTAGACTTGTTATATTTATCTTTGAATAAAAATAAAAAAAATTACCCCCTTAATATTGTGGCAGTTTTTTTCTCCGCGGTATCGAAAATGGTACCGAGTATCGATATTTTTCAAGGTATCGTATCGAAGATGGAAATTCCAGTATCGTGAAAACACTACGGCCACGTGTCATTTTCTTTATATGTCAAGTTCCCCGATGTTACCAAAGAGGCCTCTAAAAAAATCCTGATGACATAAAACATCACTGATCATGTCAGCCCACTAATTAAAAAGGAAACCATGCTTTCAAAAGTTTTTAGATAATTCAGAGGTCACAGTCAAACAGCAGTGACCAACTGATGAGAGAAAAGACTGTTTTTTACATGTAGCTTAAGTATCAAATCTGAAAAATGTGAGCTCACTGCTGTCATCCAGATTTTGGGGTTGGATACTGCAGAGCAATTTAGCTTGAAGCCAAGTGAAATCCATTTTTCAGAGAGTTGGAGGTTTATTTTTCATATCATGTTAGTGTGTACACACAAGACACGAGATCTTATCATGTTGTGAAAAGGAATAAGACCAACAAGTACAAAAAAAGACTAACACTAGTCATGCATTTAAAAATTGGGTTTTACACTATTTATCAAAATGTACTTCCAAATGTTCCAGTCACAATAAGAGCTGGATTTTGCTTTAACATTTCAGCAGCTCGATTTGCTTTTTAAAGAGTAAAATAATTCCAGTCAACAAGTGGTTAGAGGGCAGGGTGGCTGCTGGATTAGAAAACCAGACACATTTCACCAGCACTGGGCCGGCGGCAGCAGCTCGGTGTTCATTTTCCACCCCGGAGTTGTCACTGTGTTTATATTTGCATTCATATTCGCGTGACAGGAATCTGGAGCTCTGAGTGATGTTAATTAAGTAACCTGTGTGAAGACACTCACCTCAGCTGGTGCTCTCGCAGGTTGGACAAGGCCTCCATCCCATGTAGATAAGAGTAGACAATCTCCAGATCCTGAGGAAAAAGGAAAAGTGTTGTTAGACACAGAAGCTAAGAGCTGGAGCTTTAAAGCTGTTGCAATTAGTGCGTGTTCTAATAATAATGTATAAAATGATCATGTGCAGTGCAAAAAGGAGTGGCTCATAGTGACAAAGGCTATCTTCCCTCAGCTGGAACTTCATGGCAACATTTAGCTCTTGTTTGATTTTATCCACAACTGTTCCTGCTTTGGTTAACTCTCACCACTGTCATCAACATCTCCCCGGCTGCAACAGGCAGCATCTAACCCGTGAACACGTGGGAGCAGAAGAATTTCACCATAGCAACTTTATAAGGCCATTACATGCCAGTGTTGACAGTTTAGTTAATGCATGCTAAAATGCATTATTAAAATAGTTTTAATGTTCAAGGCCATTATTGCTCATTATTATAAAACATTATTAGAATTTTAAAAAATCTTTTTTGTCTGACCAACAATCCAAAACCATCTAATCTACATGGTGTAAACAAAGCAAAGCAGCTAATTCTCCACTTGTGAGGCTAAAACCAATGAACACGGGGCAATTTTCGCTTGATAAATTATTTAAATCATTTCAACACGAGCGACAAGTGTCAACAAGAACATGTGCATTATGTATTCACATCCACACTTAAAATACTGAGCCTACTTTCTGCAGAGGACAAACCGACTTCTCAGACCACAGAAAACATTCTACAAGGAGAGCAGCGCTGATTTGTGCAAGTGAATATTAAAATGGAAAGCTATAAAGTACCTCGCAGAGGAAAAAATAAAGGAACTACACTGCACAACTATAAACTCGCCATTCAATGGTTTCAGCGAGCGACTCTCAGATTGGGTGGCCTGAATCCAAGTCAGAGGTGAAACAAAGTGGCTCTCTCTGAGAGCTGGCAGCCCGTACAGCTACTCCACTGTCTGTTGGTACACACCGCGGCACTGACTCCGAGTGTGTGTTTATGTGTGTGTGTGTGTTGCAGTGCTGGTTGCAGCTACTGGGATGCCTTTGTCAGCAGCGCCTGGAGGGAGATGTGGCGACAGCAGAGTGGAGTGACAACAGAGACTCTGTTACCACCAGACACAAAGACACATACACACCCTGTTTCTGTGTTGTGTTTTTGAAAGCAACAATCATTAGTTTATTGAAAATGTTATGAAATGTTGACCAAAAATCCACATAACCCTGTGTTTGTGCTGGGTTGGCATCACAAAATGTCTAAGTGGAGGAGAAACAGTCAGTCTATGATGAGTTTATGCTGATTTAAGAAATACAAAACACTGAACACAACCTTATATTCAGTCAAAAAAGGTGCAAAAAAACCTTATTTGTGATGTAATTTTCAACTGACAACTTATCATGAAACACTAACTACAATATATACAATGTAGTATTTTGGCTTAAAGCCAGGTTGTGTCAAAAATTAACATATAACATTTTATACAACTCAAACCATACAAAGGATACTCTGTATGATTAAGTTCAAAGGTCGATGTTACACGAAGGTTAAAAACCACCAACAGTGAATAAAGTGTTGCAGTATTCATCATCGCCACCTGTTACAAATAAACAAGAAAAAATACACCATCAATAAATATGTGACACATTACTACACACTATGACGTAATATCCCAACAAGTGGCCTAAACTCTTTAATTCATTAGGGTTTGGCCTTCATCACTTCAGCAGGGAAAGGCTGTCCTATTGTCCTGAGGGCTGCCTGGTCCTGTTACCTCACACAGCGATGTCCTCATAACCAAGCCCTTATTTTCAAAGTGTCTGTGGTCAGTGAAACACAATGACCAGAAGCTGTCATGTAACAGAGGCAACGTACTACTGCCACCTACTGGGGGACACAGCAACTACAGCCCTCACTAACGGATGAGACACATTTTTCCTGCAAATGCACAATTAAATCAGCACTTCATTTGGTAGAAGGTTTAAAAAGATTGAACTATAAGTTGCTAAGCAAGTACCTGAGTATAAGGGTGACCATTTAAAGTGATGCACAGTAGGCCAATAGTACACAGTATATTTAACTTGGTGCAGGAGTACAGCTTAAACAATGAACTGACGGGGGGGGCCCCACAGAACACGGCAAATGTTGTCAGTGTTAAAAATCTAAGTGCCAACAAGCTGTAGGTTGGGTGTCTTAGTTTTCTAAACAATCTGAAGACATCAAATTGAGCTTTGTGAAATCGTGGAAGCTTTTACTATTTTCTAGTTTAATCAAGGGGAAAAACAGGCAATATATTGAACAATTCTTATAGTGGGGAGACCCTGATTAACAAGCCTTTTTGATTGCTACAAATTCTACTAAAGCAGTGAAGTTATCCCTTCAACTAACGTCAAACACACTAGCCACTGATTCCAAGTTTTCCTGGTGGCTCAGTGGTCAAATACACAAACCACATAACTGCAACATCTCAACTTCCAGAACTCTGCGAGCACAAATGCACTCGGCCAGGGAACAGTCACTTTCTACTGTACTGCCCAATACGGACAAAAAGCAGAAAAAAAAAGACTACCAAAGAGAAACTCAGATTTTCATTTAAAATAAAATATTGGTTAAGTCAGAAATGTGAAGTAGGATTTGGCAAAAAAAAAAGAACTAAAGAGAAACATCTTTCAGTGACCTACAACACAAAGAGCTTTGGTGACTGTGTGGACTGGAAGACGTGACTTCTACAGCATCAAGCGACAAATAATCCAGACAAAAACTGCCGCTAGGTGTCAGCGTTGCAGGATTCTTCTTTCCTACCGACAGTGACATCACTGTGAATGAAACAGCACCACTCAAACAGCAGCCTCACAGGGAGAAATATGCAAAACCATCAATTGTGGCTTCTGTCTCAAATATTTCAGATTGACTGTATGGAAAGAATGTAAAGGACCCCATCTCCTCCACTCCCGGTGCCCTACATTTTCTGGCCTGATTATTTTTTTCCCTCTTACTGGCCTCCTTTTAGACTGAGACAAACACAATCACCACAAAGTGTACAAGGAGAGGACACATGAACTGTTTAGGACAAGCACAGGAGCATCAAATCAAAAGCAACTGTTAAAATTTCAATGAGTGTATCGGTGCTTCTGTCATGTGATTTATTTGCTTAGGTTCAAACAATTGAACATTCAAAATATAAAAGACCTTCCATGCACTTTAATTATTCTAACAACTGAGTTGCCTCTTGGTACCGAGATCAAAAGCAGAGGGTATTTGATCCAGGCTTTCAGCATCACCACAGCCTCATGTTCATTCACATCTTTGGCTGAAAACAGGCTCTCTGGTCTCTCGGAACAGAAACAGGAAAGAAAGAGATCAGACAGAGGTGAGACTAGGATGTGCTGATGAGCGCTGCAGCCAGCCAAACCTCTGTTCAAGTCAATGTTTGGTCATGTTTTAAAAACTGCTGCTTTTGGCTTTGTGAGAGGGGTAGTTCAAATTCCCGGGCTACACCAGTAACACACCATCTAAGCCATATAACTTCCTTTTTCCAAACTACTCCTTCCAGGAACGCAGGCGCCACTCCCACAGGAGGAAATACACACCAAGATGCTGCTCTTGATAAAACCTCAAGGATATTTCAAAGCAGCTTGCTCAAAGCTGCCCGTGGCATTCCTCACGTCAGTTACTGCCCATCTATAAACTTCCTCACTTCTTTCCTTGATGCAGCCCAATATGTCGTCACTTTGCACCATCATTTGTAAGACAGATGGTAGCGGTACAATGCAGCCAAACGAGTAGAGGCATTTCCTCTGCAGGATACAAATTAAACAATAGCCGGCCTTGTCTTCCACGCTTGGGACCTGACTACAGAAACACACACACACACACACACACACACACACACAGACCAAGACGCCCTCCATTTTCCACCTATTATGTTAGGCCCCAGAGGAAGAGGGTGCAGTGTGGGGCCTGTTGCCAGCTTGTAGAATGGCAAAGTATTCAATGGGCAAAATGAGGTCGGTCAAGGAAATTGTGATGTTTTTACTGCATTGTGTTAATTGAGCCTAAGGTTACGGTGAAAACAAATAGTTACACATGAAAACGTATCAGTAAAAGGTCACATAGATGACCTGCAATGATTTAAAAAAAAAGAATGCTGTGTATGTGGCCGCAGAGCAGGTTTTGACCAGAACAGTGACACAATGAAGCACGGTTTCTTTTAGAATTGAAAATGTTCAAAACTATGCATGATAGCAACAGTGCTCACATTGAGGATTAGCCCGGTGTTAATCTAAACAGGGCTGTAACTAAACCAACTGCTCTGGGCCGTCCAACATGATATGGTTAGAGAACACCTCTGCTTTTCTCATCTCTTACCACCACAGTGTCTGTTTGCTAGATAGGAAGCTGCATCTATTTGGGCCCTTTCACTGTGGCACAAATGGACAATCCATTTATTCATTTGGCTCTGGCTGAGGACAGATAGCAGGCCTCTGCGTGCATCTGTCACCCACTGAAGACAGACATTAAATAAAGAAGCTGTAACCTTTTAAAAGAAATGGGCCACAGGGGGAGAGATAACGGGGAGGTGAGGGGCATTTCTTTCAACCTAACTAACCTTAGTACTTGATGGATGTTCACACAGCAGATTTTCAGCTAAAAATTCATGTCACTTACATACTGTATCTTTGAAAATTGATATCAGTGTCTTTTGTCCCAAAATAAAATTCTAATCCCATGGACAGAAATGAGCCTTTAATTAGAGCAGTAAATCAAAGACTGATCCATTAATGTGTATCTAGGGATGAGGTCGTAAACTGCAGGTGCTGGTGTTAGGCTTTCATATCGTGCGGGACCGACAAAATATTAAGTGTTCTAAACCCATAAAATAGACGTGTGATGGCTGTTTCATTGATGTTCTGTCCTCACAAAGTGGCCCAGAAGCATAAATCAGTGATCATGTCTCCTTTGTTGACAACATTAATATCTCCTGCCATGTGCTTTAGCACATGCACGTCTGGCTCTGATGTAACTGCTGTCAAGGAACTCCT